ATCAATTACATTCTCCAAGTTCCATATCTCTGCTCACCTGTTTCCAGTGTGACTGCACCGTTGTTGCTTCAAGGAGTAAATGACAACGATAGAATACGCATCCGATTTATAATAGATCCAAGCAGATCATGCGCATCTCGTCTTCCTACGCCTTCCTTCTATTTGCTCATAGAGCACGGTTGACAGGAATAGAGTCGACTGATAATGGTCTGGATGATCTTCGAGAACTACAGTGAAAATAAAAACAATTTCCTGACTGAAGGACCCTTGGGGCCGCATGCTATATTTACACTCGACCAAAAAAGTTCGGGAACATGAAATTTGTTTTTCAATAATTGAAAAAATGTATATAATGTAGTGGGAAAATCATCAGTGTATATAAAAAAGTAACGAATGGTGGGTGCATTATCCAAAATGTTTTGGTTAAAATATTTACCTTAGCTCATATATGCTTATTTTACAATCATTAAAAATAACGAAGTTTCCGAACTTTTTTGGTCGACTATATGTATTGTACAACAGTTCACGGTAATGATAACCCCCATAAATACTGATCATTTTCAGTGATTTTTCTTAAAGAAAAGAGTACCGAGGAGAAAACATCATTGCAGGTTAACATTATCAAAACGTTTTTACTTTTATCAGTGTTTGCACATCCTTATGTAAATATTGAAAATAAATTTTGAGAGAAATACATATTTTCAATTTAGGTCGCTATGGATGGTTGGAAGCCGTAAATAATTTCTTTGAATAATAGATGAATAGAAATAAAAAATAAGCCAGGGTTAAACTGTTTCATCCGTTCTTCAAAGCGGAATTTGTAGGTGTGAAAAACGGTGCGAAAGGAATTTTTGTTTTGATTGGGTTAACTATGTTGCCACGGCAACAGACGCTCAGTTTATCACTCGTTGGATTTTAAGAATCAGGAGCCAGACGTTAATTAAACGTGGAAATATGATTGTTTAACAACATCATTTCATATTGATGGATGAGAACTTATCTAAACCCACACTGAAAAGTGAGGGCGTTACGGCTAGTGGAGAATGCGTCGAAATGAAGAAGTCTGAGCGTTTATCTGGGAGACAATAACGACGTTGAAAGGGGTTTTCAGGAAATACGTCAAGACGAACAATCGGATACAGGCTTTCAGATCGGAGGTGTGGTGTGAGAAGTACTTGATGGCCGTCGAGGTACTATTGTGGACGAGGGTTGAGATGAAGTAGACATGACGTATCGCTGTCGGTGGTGCGAGGTGGATCAGCAGGGAAGGCGCAATACTCTTGGCGCTTTTTTTGGTTTTCTTTTATTCCGTCTACAAAAAAAGACGATCATAGCTAGCGCTGTCTCGGTTCTCTTTAATACTGATGGGAGAATACGTATCGGTGAATTTCAATTTCATTTCATACGCCCTAAGTTCAAACCCTCCAATTTAATTTAAAACTAAATTGACTGTAAACACGGTTTAAAAAAAGGATCATGTCATAATATATGACAATCATAATAATAAAAATAATTTGCTCTGCCCATATAAATTGGCTGCATCACAGTTTAAGTTAGTACACGTGTTGACAGATCAGCAACGATGCACCCTCCAAAAAAGTAAATAAATAAATAAATAAATAAATAAATAAATAAATAAATAAATAAATCCCAGATGTCCGGAAACCTTGCCGTGCGTGTTCGAGAGATAGAAGCTGTCCACAGACAAGAGCTGTCTGTTTGTGACAACAATCCTGCAATGCACCGAGACTCCACGCATCGCTGTGGCCGGCTCTCTGACCTGTTACCCTCTGCCAGGGCCACTGAGAGAAAATTCTCCACTAGATATTCATAGATATTTCTTTCTAGTATAACATCGCCCAGCTGGTCTCTGGAAGGGAGTACTATTTCGAGACGTTAAATTTGAATGAATATGATGAAAACTGCCGTATGAATTAATCTTTGCTAAAGGCATGTTCATTTCACACGCCTATTATTTCTAAACGAGATATCGAGAACAGTTGGACAGGTGGGACTAAAACGCTCACTGAAATCACTTGTAATGGGGTAATGTTATGAGATACAGCATAGTCATTACTGGAACAGCGAAAAAGATGACTGTTTGTTTTTCCTACTTTTTTCCATTTCTGACATTAAAAAATTTTTTTTTCATTATCTTCGATCAAGGTCTTTATTCAGTGCATCAAGCCTCTGAAAATGCCTTATGAACTGGTTAGAGTGAATTCCAGTTAAAGAAATTGTCGGTATGCTCAGATTTCCCAACCTACATTTATGGAAATTTGGCATTGAAACATTGAAACCGTATGCATTATGGATATAAGCCAGTGGTACACACATGATTAGTAAGGGGGTGAATAACCTGGTTTAAGTCAGTATATTTGTTTTCAGGCAATAACAACCATTCTGTGAGATTTGGTATTGTGATTTTACGGCATATTTCTTACTGTAACATATCATCTTGTTGGGCTGTGCATGTTGTACTATGCTTCACGGTTATAGTAATGGCCAGAAAATCAAGCTCGATCGTGATTTTTTTTATCAATGAAAACCATTTACGGTAACCATATGATATTTTATACCCTTTCCTGGTTTTTATTCTGCAGTGCAGCTATTTGTTTCCATTTAATAAAAAATATATTTGGAAGTATAGACAGGTTGAACTTGATATACAACCTGGAGGAATTGATATTTTACACCGATATTACTAATGCTTCTTCCTTAAACAAGAGTCACATTTAAAGCCTTGGTGCAAAGTGACATTTGTGTCAGCAAGCTATTTAATCCATTGATTTACATGTAAGTAATCGTGATGCATTATCTTGCTAGGCAGCGTGACTTATAGAATGTGTAGTGAGCGATCCATAGATACATTACTCACTGTAGGCGTGACGTCAACACAGCAATCGGGAGGACCATTACCATCATTAATGCGATCTGGCCAGCTAGACCAAATTGCAAAAAAAAAAAAAAAAATAATAATAATAATAATAATAATAAAATAAATAAAAAAAATAATAATGTATCAAACCATTTTAAAAATACTACCACACTTTGTACTACTTAAAGGTTTGATGGTTAGTTTTAATCGTTTTGTCTTAATACATGTATTTTTTATTACAAAAAAATGAAAGAGTTAGAACTTACATTACCACGACAAGTGCAAGTACATCAGGTGTCAAGAGTAATGTTATGGGGTCCGCATGACTTGAAATCATGATAAAAATGTGCTCAGCTGCATGTGACAAAACATGACTCATTAAACCGCCAAACAATGGACAATGGCGTTATGAGTAAAACAGCTATATGTAATTATATCATTGATCTCTATTGTACGAAACAATTGCCTAAAAAGATGAATAAAAAAGAACCAGCAAAATTTAGAACGGCAACTGCAAACTTTCTCATCACGTATTCCTTTTTTTTTTTTTTGCTGTTTTCAGAGAAACAAGTTATATTTTGTTCGTTTTTATTTTCTACAAAAATCGATTATTTTCTTCAGTTCATTCTATGTTCTCCCATATTGTATCTCATATTGGAGCAGGAGTCAATTTAAAGTCATGTATCCCAATAGCTTAATAAAAATCTTTAAAGATTAAAACAAAAATTTGCATTTCATGTAATATTTTTCTCTACAAGTCCATCTTCTTTTTTATTTCCAGTGATTCTTGAGTATATTAAGTATATTCGCCTGTAAAAACTATTTCTGAGAAAAATTTGAATATTCATTTTCCGTAAATACCATTTGATATTTTCTTTGAACATGTACACAGAAACTCCTCGTATGGAGATGTAGTTTGGCAGAAGTAAGCTGTTAAAACGTAAAAACATAAATCATGTGACAGCATACTATAATTAGCAATCACTAAATCAAGACAGTTCACTGCACTTGGCGGTGGAGTTATTTTATCAAGAAAATCATTAGACTGCCGTATATAAAAAAGGAGGCACGTTTTCATTCTCACCTCTCTTGCTTGGAAAGGGGTTCGGTCATCACCATCGCATAGTGTGCCAAAAGAGTATATCACAGAGTTTACACTGACTGTAAATATGCTGAAAGTCCTGTGTCTCGGAGCACTGGTGGCCGCACTACAGCAAGTGTCAGCTAACCACTTGGCAGTCGGAGAGGGCGGGTATGCCCCTCCCACTTACGGCAGCCCGTACGGCAGTCCGTATGGCGGTTCTTATGGCAGCCCATATGGAAGTCCCTACAGCGCCTCACCTTACAGTGCGTCTCCCTACGGCTACTCTCCCTACGGTGCCTCCCCCTACGGATCCTCTCCTTACGGTTCTCCATACGGATCCTCTCCTTACGGTTCTCCCTACGGATCATCTCCTTACGGTTCTCCATACGGATCCTCTCCTTACGGTTCTCCCTACGGATCATCTCCTTACGGTTCTCCATACGGATCCTCTCCTTACGGTTCTCCATACGGATCATCTCCTTACGGTTCGCCCTACGGATCCTCTCCTTACACCACCGGATACTATCCAGGATATGGAGGCTATAGCACTGGATATGGCGGCTATCCAGCATATGGATATCCCGGATACTGATATACTTACTAGAAACGTTGAACACACACACACCTGGCCACGGGTAATGCTTTACTTTATCATGATTTGATAATTTATACTTGTGTTATGGATTGGCTATAATAGCAGAGTTTGCGACGTTCTTTTCGGTCTCTCTGTATTTAAAAGTCAAATGTTCTCAATGCTGTGAAACTCAGTAAAAAGGAAAATGTCATTTCTTTCAAAATTGTCTTTTCTATCCATGTCAATATTTTTAATAACCAACTTGAAGCATCTAACTGTACAAAACAGTACGAGTGCTCTTTTCTTGATAAATCGTTTAATAAATTAGATTTCAAGATTATATTTTTGGAAGCTGACTTTGCTGTATATCTTTGAGAGCAAGATATGTGTTTATTTGTACTGCTAGATCTCGTTATCAACGAAAAGATCTCAGAAGATTTTACATGTCCTCTGCCTTACATAAAAAACGTGAATTAGAACATCGATAAGGCTCTTTTTTATATCGAGTGGTATGCTTAAGTGATACAGCTGTACTGGTCCACTTCAAGAGATTGACAACTTGATTGCCTAGCTCTAACGTAAAAGGGTCATCTGTAACTCCTATTACACTTCTGTGATTATCAAGTCCATGTTACATGTGAGAATTTTTCTTACGCAAACCGTAAACACATACAATAACATGTATGTAACTTTGACTTACTTATGAGCCAGATGCACACAAGTCAAAGAAGTAATCGAAAACCTTTGCAATTCGTACTTAGCAGCTACTTATCGAAAAAAATCAGTACTAAAAGTTTACGCAATAGTTTGGCAGGGGCTTTAGCGTATACGGTCATTTAATTAATTAAGCAGCAGAAATCGAACTTGTGGAAAACTTTGAGAAGGGTGAATGCTCCGTAGCATTTTTACATGCTACGTGTGTAGGGTCCCTCAAATTGTACTGAAACGCTCAATTATACCGCTCGGTGTGAAAGCGACTCTAAGAAACGTTTTCATCTTTATTTCAGATAGACGCAATCTGTAGATTCCAAGTAGTAACCGTGGAGAGGCGGTTTTAAAACACGCGGCCCTTTCACCACAACGACTCTGTGATATATAATACTGACGACACAGGACAAAGGGAAGAACTCACAAACCTGACTTTAATCTCTGCTGCTGATTACAAATATTTATATCCATCATGTAAGAGAAAATGAGACATCTGAAATTTTCAAACGTTGTTGAGTGTCATATGTACCTGTGTACCCATTTTATTGTACGTGAACAAGTATTACATATACAAGGCATTTATTGATGGAAGGACCTGAACCTTAATGCAGCACCATTTTGTTGCTCAAAAGGACATTATTCAAATATGTTTAACTCAGACAAAGAATACAGTATTTTAATTTTAATGATGTAAACTATTGTTGTTTTCATTGACTGTTTTTTAGCAGTTTATACCCTAACCGGGCGGCACATGAACATTTCTGCTTCTTTAATGAGAATAGCGTTTAATGTGTTTAACTGTCAATCAAAATGAGAAGAGAGCCTTCTTAGCAAGGAATAAAATTTAGACACACGAAGCTTTTTGTTGGATCTTGTTATGATAACGAAATAAGGGGTTTTTGAAGGATTTGTGGCACACCGCGTCCCTTACACACCGAAGAAAACCATGATTCGTTTCAAAGTATTTTTTCACTTATGGAAAAAGCTTATGTTAGGGCACCATCATAAATTTAGCTGTGAACATACCCTATACGAGTCCAATCATTCATTCAAAAATTGAAATTGGCTATAGTATTCATTTTCCCATACATTAACGTCAGGTGAATTGCAAATTGCAAAGATATCCATCTAGATGCAGGCATCTTGAGAGAGCATTGGCCCGCGTCTGTGGAAAAACTAAACAGTAACCAAAGCTATTTATCACAAAGAAAAAATCAAATTAGATACTGAATAACAAGTAGACAAGTTCCATCAGGGGGCATAAGGGGTATATATTATATGCAAGTGCATTTAGTATCGGTTGCTGGGAGGTCACCTTCGGCGAAAGTTCATGCACCAAAGCAGTGTCCCACACACCTGTCTCCATCAGCGGCCACAATCAGCGTCTGCGGTGGACAGAAGAACAAACCCTCACCTTCTACACCGTAAATAACAGCAGTGTGTTAGACGGTTATCAAATATACGGTTACCGTGGTTGCTCTTGCGCTAAGGGGGGTGTAGGAGAAAGTAGCGTCCAAGGAGATGAGAAACTTTTCGTACCTTTTTAAATATGTAACGTACATAGAATCACACATATACACACAAGAAGTCCAATACGTAGTAAATTTTGAGAGTGCTTGTAGAATACTATTGACAAATTTGCCCCAAAATAAATAAATAGAAATACAATAAGAAAAATATATAGACAATTACCTCTTTTATTCTACTTCAAAAACTCACTTCTATCTGACTTGAAAGTACTCACGGTGAAAGAAATATTAAAATGATTTCCCGGTTGGGCCGGTTTCAATTACAACACAATTTGCAGACTAAAACGTGATAACATTAAGCCGTTATATCATGTTTATGGCTTATATAATCACAACGTCTTAATCTCAGTTTCATCAATATATCTCCATCCAATTATGAACATTATTATAGAGAAAGATAAACTTTTGTTCATGGGAACCTGTTTGAAATTCTTGTCAGTCGACCCCAGAGACGTAAACGTGACAATTTACCAGCATCCAGATACAGATACAGGGGGTTTCAAATATACGGTATATATAAACTGATACTGTGTTGTCCCGTCTCATGTGCCCTTTTTATTACTTAAGGTAACATAAATATACAGAAATAGGCTTCTCAACATTTGTGCAAGCACAATGATGTCTGTCTGTCTGTCTGTCTGCCTGCCTGTCTGTCTGTCTGTCTGTATATACTGTATTGTCCCTCTGTCTATGTGTCTGTTCAGCGTTGGAAAGTCCGACTGCTTATCCCAGAGTTGTAAGCTGTTGAAATCTGACCTTAATTAGAGCATGTGCAAAATTACGAATTATTACGTCCAAGATAAGAGATCGAATTTCCTTATTACTTCACGACATATTGATTACTTTCAAAAGCGTTAAATGGCAGAGGTTTATTTTAGGCACATGTATGACAGGTATTGGTGTCACTTCCCGTAATCTTGCCCCAAAAGGCCATTAAAAAGTTCCTGTTTTTAATATCACGTATCCAATTACCTTCGCATGCAGGAATCACTTAATCAACACTACCTTTGTAAAATGATCATATTGCAGTAAAAAAAAGGACTCTTTTGATGAATTTTAATGCTTGCACGGCTGAAATGCGACAGGTGTAACAATTGATTTCAATTTTCAATTCTAAACAGCATACTGCAGGATCTCCCCTTGAAATTAAAGTATCCCCCTTCGAATCTGACTCACTCTTTCATCCTCTGCCAAACTTCTGTGCGGTACTTGAAAGGATTCCCTTCAGTTTCCGGAGATTCCCTTCAGCCTTCGGCACTTAATACGGCCTCAGACCTTGAAAACAGGTTCCTCTTATAGTCCCTTAAGCATGGGGTACAGTTAAAAGGCCAGTTACAAGTAAATACGTGTAAGAATATCGAACATCGTCGCACATGTTTTTCCTCCCCTTTCTTCTCTCTCTTTTTTACTTTTTTATTTATTTATTTAATTTTTTCTTTTTTTGGGGGGGGGAGGGGGGTCAGGAAAGATTGACCTTGAACAACAATATTGGTTTTTGGCGACAACAAATTCATAAATTGCACTGTGATCGAGATCGTAAATATCCGGCAAAGGAGCGCTAATAGCAGTTATACAACAGTTAATGCTGGACTTCCGCTGAATAAGTGGTTCCTCCATTATAATAATAATAATAATAATTTTATTGAGCATTAAAATGTGTACATTTACATTTTACAAGCTCTCTAAACTACAGTTTTACATAAATTGTAATTGTATACACTTAAATAATTATGACTTCTTTAGATCATTCCATTGCCAAAATACATGTAAGCTAACTACTTCATTCACAATATAATAATACAGAATATAGTATTTTGTACAATATGCCTTTGCTACTTAGGCATAACTGACTGTATAAACTTGGCCACTGCTGATGCACTTGCACGACACTGTGGATTGAGAATCTGTATTATTTTGCTATCGTCATCAGTGCCTGATAGACCAGAGAATCGTGACAGGGAATCAAACATTCTTTTACGCTCACGTTGATGCTGAGTGCAGATCAGGAGAAAATGCTTTTCGTCTTCGATAACATTTTTGCAGTGTGGACAAAATCTTTCTTCCATTGGTGTTTTAGGATATGTATGTCTCCCTCTTTCAATTTGTAAATTGTGGTCACTAAGCCTGAGTTTTGATATTGCTATTTTGTAATGGGCTGGAATGTTGAGTTGCAGGTATTTTTCGCCATTGTACGAGTTTTTTAGGGCTTTGTAGGTTCTTAGTTTACTGAATTTATCAGTGTGTAATTCCTCCCAGAAGAGACATTCAACTTTCTTTATTATTTCTTGATCTAAATCGGGATAGCCGTGAAATGTTTGTGGCATGTTCCCGAAATGGTTAGTAATTTTCCAAGTTTCAAGCATTGTTTTCGTGGCTGAGGACCAGCCGGGTATTTTGTCATTTTTCTGTTGATTGTATACCTGTTTAACAATTCTCGTGTCTGGTAAATTGTCCAGTCTTTTTGCAAAATTTTGTGTTTGTTTAACAACATCACAGTATATGGGGTACCTACCCAATTCTGCTCGACTTGCACTATTATTTGTAGATCTTTTCACACCTAATGCCCATTTGCATGCTTTAAGATGAATTTGTTCAAATGGTAATTTGTTTAGGAAATTGAGTGATATTTTCTTTTCTTCTTATCACTGCTGTCCACCGCGAACGGCGTGAGATCTGGACATTGTCAGCAATCACGCTGTTATTACTGTCTGACTGCCATCAACGAGTGCTATACTTACGGAGTTAACAAATTAAATTAGTTATCTTTTTTTTTGTTTGTTTCGATAGTAGCATGGACTCGGGCATGACAGGTGGGATATCTTGATTACAATGTAAATTCTACGTTTGCAACAATCAAGCACATAAAATGAGGGTATATTAAGAAAGATAAACAAGCCCCGGAGTTTAACAGCCAGGAAATAATGATAATTCAATTTAAAATGACAACCAAAAAACTGAGGTTATTAATGATTATCAAAATTCCGCATTCTGCTTACTTTCAGACGTATTATCATTTTTATTACAGATATCATTCTCTCATACTATCAAACAATTTTTTATGGATTAAGGCAAAATTACAGAGTCTTCAAATAAGATAATCACAGCGGATTATTTCCTTTCTTGAGTCCTGGTATAAAATGTCACGTACATCTAAGGTTTTCAGTCTTTGTGCTGTCCTTCCGCCTTGAGTTACCAGGTATGTGTTTAGGATAGTGTTTTGTGGGAGTAAATGGCGTTTTGTGGGAGAAAAAAGCTTCTAGTGTTTGATTTTCAACAGGGGAAATAGTGTCTCAAATATTTTCGAACGGGTGTTTCCATTTTGATAACGACACTCGGTTTCACGAGGCAAAATCGAAAGTCGGTCTTTACGAGCAAATTTTCAATCTTGCTAGACCCAAGATAGATCAGTAGCATTCCACAGAAATTAGAACGCCACGTCAGCCTTGCATAAAGTAAAAATGTCAATTATTTAACAGCTTACAGGGGCGGATCCAGGATTATTTGAAGGGGGAGTCCGCGAATGCGAAGCCGATCCTTACCGCCCCCCCCCTCCCCTTGGCGTGGTGTTCGGAGCCCGCTAAAGGACCCCAAAATTTTGGTATTTTTGAAGGCGAAGGGTGCCATTTGGTTTAGAATTTTAAGAGGGGACCATTGATGCAATTTTTTTCGGAAACCGAAGGGGTCAGGACCCCCTCTGACCCCCCTAAATCCGCCACCGCCTTATTTCATTTTAGCGTAATGATATTGAGCCCTTGTTTTCCAGCGAGAAATAGGGTATAACACAAAAAGACGAATAGTAGGACAATTAAAATAAAGATTTCTTCAAAATAATTCCTTGTTTTGTATGATGATTGTAAACGATCTCTTAGCACGAACTGTGTGTTCAATTCCAGCTGCCTCCAATGTCTAGTCCGGCCAGAGCGGTATTTGTGGGCGTGGCCTTGCTGACCCTAGTGACCTGGGGTAATGGAGAGCCAGGAACTATTAACTACCCTTACATGTACGGCAGGATAGGTAGGAACGCTGGCAGCTTGCTTAGACCCCATTCCCATCAACACCACAGGCCAACGTAGATGGAGCCAACTCTGGGGGGACTCTCGCTGAGTGTAATCAGCTTAACTGAATGACACGCCTCCTCTTGTTTCCAACGTAAGCGTATAATCACCAGCCTCTCTGCATTCTACTTTACGTCAGGAGGAGGCGTGTTAATCTGTTAAACTGATTGCATTCAGCGACAGTCCTCGCAAAGTTGGATCGATCTAGATAGACCGATGGTGTCTATTGGAATGGGGCCTTTTTGTCACCTTGTTATTTCTCCAAGCTTGGTTTGTCAAGTCAGTCATGATGCTTGTGTAGTAATGCAAGCTGTTGTATTAGAACAAATGAGTTAATTTCTTTATTTTCACGTTTGCACCATGCGCGATAACCATATAACTGATAGGATTGTTTTGATAGAAAATAACGGCATAATAATCCCTTTCTTAAATAACATTTTATTTTCAATAGATAAAGAATAACTGAAAATAATTATACACATGTACAGTAGCAATTGAAATAAATGCTGCCTGTTGGACTATATGGTTTTTTTGCTTTAATTCGACATATTTTTGTACATCAGGCTACGGCAGTTATGGCGGTTACAGTGGGTATGGCGGCGGTTACAGTGGGTATGGAGGTCACGGAAGTTACGGTAGCTACTACTCGCCATACAAAGGTTACTACCCACACTACGGTTACGGCGGGGGTTACGGCGGCGGTTACGGCGGGGGTTACAAAGGGGGTTACTACAACTCATACCCTTCCTACAGCTACAGGCACTACCCCTCCTACTACACGTACCCGACTAAAGGAGGGTATAATCCTTACGGACACTACTACGGATAGATCTTCAGGATCAATGCTTAGATTACTTCAGACGACAGTTCTTCACACTGCCATTTTCACGCTTAATTATTTTGCCATGACGCCAGGAAATGCTTCACGGAAATTCTGAAAGTGACTTTAAGATGTCGGAAAATTTTGAGTTCACATACATGTTTCGATATGTACCCACAAAAATGAAACCTGACTTGAAAAATTTTTGAGTTGATTTTTGTTTTCAATTATTTTTCTTCTAAGTTTGTTCTTAATTTTGCATTCTGTCGAGATAATTGTTTTTATGCAATTGTTGGTAAAGGCGTTTATAGTTATGCGATAACTGAAGATTAATAAAGCACCTATCTGCGTTTCTTTGTGACTTTTATATAATTTCCTCGATGAGATATTTGTTTACCTGCATGAACCTTATACTTAAACTGTGGCGTATTTTTAAATGATAACCTTCCAAAATAGTTGATTAAGATCAGTAAAATAAGGGTTAACAAAATTGTGGGGTAAAGTATCAAAGAGGCATGCCATCCCGTGTGGGTCGAGATCAGTTATCAAGACTTTATTGTCTAAAACGGCGCGTGGAGTCTTTTAATTATACACAGACGAGGGGATATGGACAATATATTTACATAAATATAGTAAACCGATTTAGAAAATTAAACTATGGCCTCCGTTCAATTGCTGCTTAGGAGATATATAAGTAAAAATCACATATGGCTTTGCCCGCTAGTCTTCAATCTCGCCACCCGTCAGAAAGGCAGGTGGTCTTTCATTGCACCGACCACTTACAGGTAGGCTCGCTTTTCTAAAGAGAATCAATGTCTATAGCTTAGTAAATATCATATAGCCTTTAACCTTTGCCCAAATATATGAATAATCAGTCAATCCCCACATGACTGTGTTAAATGAAATCTGAACCAGAATGTACATGTAGAAGTTAAAGTTGTAACGGGAAGTTGTCGCTGCAGATGCACCGTCCAAATGGTCTAGATTTTCAGGACAGAGTGTTAAGACATCACTTACTTACTCGCTCGTATTACAAATTCATTTTCACTTTTTAAGAAACTGTATTGAAATCAATCAGACTGGATTAACAAGTTCTAAAGATTCCCCTGTATGCGTCCCCTAATTAAGTGACTGATACCTCAATTGTTGGGAATCGCATACATTGTGTATTCGATTTATTCTAAGTATTAATTATGCTGCAACGGTTTATTCGAAGTATTAATTATTAATTATGCTTAATTATGCTGCAACGGATCATTTTCATTCTCTTTACGTGAATTCTAAGTGAAGCAATGGCAGCCCTGGTGAAGGTATTGTGCCTCTTGGCAGCTTTGATGGTAGCGTGTCTGGCTGAGCCAGGTAAGCAGATGTTGCCATGGCAACCCGTATCCCAAATTCACCTTCCTGCATGTCACTATAAACATAACTGGCTAATAACTCATAAAATCATATATTTTGAAAATTTATAATTATTGTTGACGACTCATGTTTCATATACATATTTCTATGATTTTTTATGATATTTTTATGATTTTAAATTTCGCATCCATACGTTTCACCTGTGGATTTAGATTCCGTCACTGTCGTATTTTCACTCCATGTATGTAAAGCGCAGCCATGTGTGTTCTGTGCCATAAAGCGAATAATGTGACATTGCCATTGTATTATGTGCCTACAATAATCCTTCTGGCATTTATTATCATTATATGTAAAATCTCCAAATAAAGGTGACATCCAACCACCTCGTAGTATATTCCTTTAACTGTAATTAAATGGTTTGTTTTAATGTTTTATTTGAATATAAAATGTGGATATCTCAGTTTTCGATGACTTCATCCATACTTCTAATGCACCAACCATTAACAGTTTTTCCAATAATTAGCTATTTCTTTGCTCCATATATTTTACTAGCAGGCTTATGTGTTAGTAATATACAATATTCTGTGGTTTCAGGAACAATTGGCTACCAATACTTGTATGGGGGCAGAATTGGAGGGGCTGGTCTGTATGGAAACATCGCGGCGGGCGGCGGGTAAGTTCACATCTGGTACACTAAGACCTAGATCGATCTAACAGGATTGATCCATCTCCAAGAGGTTTCTCGGTAAATTGCTTTCAGCTTAAGTGGCTTAGATGTCTGGCACGCCTGCTTAAGCTGCTAAACGATAGTTATTTACCCCCTATCAGCTTCAGTAGGCGTGACAGACATCTAAACCGCTTAAGTTAATTGCAATTTAGCGAGATTCCCCTTGGAGATAGATCGATCCGCAGTTAGTACGATAAGGTCTGGGAATGGTCCCTAAAATTGTCAATAAGCTACAGCCAGGTGTAGACAAGGTACAAAAAATCCACCTTCAAGGACACATGAGTATAACACCCATAGTGAACAAATGAAAAAACAATTTTAAATGGAGTTGAAATTAGATTAGAATGATTCGTGTATTTTTCAGTAAAACCTTCTTCCCTGCTATTGCTAGGTATGGTCGCTACAGCGGATATGGCGGCGGATACGATGATTCCTTTTACGGCCCTGGTGGTTTTTACGGTGATATTGGTGGATACAACGCTGGGTTTGGCGGCGGATACGATGATTCTTTTTACGGTCCTGGTGGTTTTTATGGTGGTATAGGCGGATCCGGCGGTGGATATGGCGGATATGGTGGATATGGCGGCGGATACAGAGGCTCTGTTCACGGTTTAGGCGGCTACGGCGGCCATGGGGCTTTTTATTAAGGTCGACGGTTGCTATGTTGATTGTGAACTTTGGGATTATTGGGAATATGTGATCGTCTATAATCAACATCAGAAGTATGATATATAATGGATTCTGCAAGTAAACGTAGCGTAGACAATGCTATTGCCATTCATACCGGAGATCAATTATTTCTGGACGTTCATATAAGTGCTGTTTGCCTGCAATAGTGGCCTTGTTGCCAAAGATGTTACAATAAATGATCGAATTATTCTTTTAAAAAAGAGTTTGTTTATAGTTTTTTTTTGCTTCTCACCTGACCTGTGCTCTTTCCTTAAAAAAGCAGAATCTTGCCGCTGTTAACAATGTATACCCGTAAACAAATATGATAAAAGTTATCACATCCAAAAAGATTGCAATATAAAAAATAGCTGTATGTAGATAGTTTTGAATTTGTATCTGTGAACAATCTGTGAGAGGTTTATTTTCACAAACAAAAAAAAAGGCTTTACCAATATCAGGAATTCAAAGCTAATAGTCAATAAAAAGATGAAGTGGGACTAAAATCATGACTAATGTGAAACACTCGATTTAATTGTTCATTTAATCGAGTAGGAATTTTTCAATAATAAACAAGCTGCAAAGCACACTTGAATTGCTTGACATCATTTCTGAGCTATGGCACTTCTGTCACTTTTCCACTTGTCTTCATAAATAATTAGATAGTTTTTTACCAGAAGTTAAACCATGCCTAATGTAAATTACACTAATAATGTCAGGTTTTATCATTCATAAAACTGAGTAGGATTTTTTTCCAAGCATGAACAACATGCAAGACAGACTTAAATTGCGTGACATCATTTCTGAGTTGTTGCACTGTCACTATTTCAAGTGTTTTTCGGAAAAAATCAGATCATGATTTACCAGAATATAGCATAGTGATAATGATGTGTACATGCCTTAGTCTGGAAAACCATGGCAATAATAATGGTACTCAAAATGCTTACATTGTCGAACCAACACGCAAGGCAAGTAAAATGAGAACAAATATCTACTGAAAAAGATATACATTTCCTTATCTAGTGTAACTGATGATCACGACGAAAAATTGTGAAAGATCTTCGCAATATTTTTCCGGGCTTTACACTGTACCTGTATCCTTGATCAGTCTTGAAGTATGGTGTTGATGACGTTATTTTAAGAGAGCAACTGGAGAAGTTCTGTATCATGTTTTAGTGCTCAGCTAGTAATTGAATGGCTTCAATGGTTGAATATCAACCTTCTTTGATAGAGTTCCTAGCCAAAGAAAATTCCTTATGTATCGGTGCACGTAACCACGTAACTCGTACTGGTAACATATGGCAAATGAAGTTGGTGGGCGGCCATGGTTCTCGGCAATGATTCCTGTTTTCTGTCACTTGAAAGATTGGACTATGCGCCATTATATAGTTCTTTGTTTCAAAATATCATGGAAATGTAATTGTGTAATTGTATGTCAAGGGTGGCCCACACCCAGGTCGCGATACGAAATGATATATCAGCAGATATCCATCGATATTTCTCCCAAATATCACAGTTTAAGGAGAGAAATTGTCCAGATAATTCGTGTATTTAAGATGCCAAGTTTTACCCAGTCATTTATAATTATGCCACTATTTCTTTTTCACAGTATTTGCACTAAATGATCTTGCACGCAACCTTTACTAGTATATGCATATCAATTCTTTCTATTTTATATTCACTATTGGCCACTCTTTTTTTTTGCAAATCGAAAAAATATATTCCGTTAAATATTATTTTCTGTGCATTGCTTGCTGGCAGAAATTTGCCTCTTTATAGTACAATTTTGTCGTAACATTTCTCCTTTTTCAAAAGTCCTCTTGACACTCTGACCTTTGCAATAGATTACAAACTTATTAAGATAAGCCCCTCCCCCTTAACCAACATGCCACGACCCGGACTTTCTACGGAATAACAGCCGCTTTAAGGTTCTGATTTTCTTCATGCCTCAATCAATGATCAAATTGTCGTGTTGAATTTAAACATTCAACACACATAGGTCAATGTTTGGTTGTATAAGTATCTTTTTATGTTGTTAGGAAACCACAATCTCTCAAGCACCTTAGATTAGATCCTATGTTACCTATATCTCTGATGCATTTTTAATATTAAATTGTCCTTGAGTTCAGGGCGGGAAATACCTCAGTGTCAAATGCTTTCATTACAAGTGCCGGGGTCGCTTGATAACGGTTATAATTTGGTACCTGGTTGTTAGCGTCACTTCTGTTTGCTTCTGAGAGGCGCTTTAACGCAAGGCTGGGCATTAGTATCTAACCCGGGACAAACACGGGGCGCACTTGCTTCATTTTAGGCGTTTTAAACAGATGTTTAACGGAGATCCGTTTTAAGATACTTCGTAAATTGCAAGCAGGTTCGTGTGAAGGGTGATTGTATCTTCGCAAACACACACTTATCATATACTTGACAGCACCTTAAATTGGTAATTTTGGTCAGTGAATCAAAAAAGGAGTGATGGAACGTCCGTTATTAGTCATCGGGTTTCTTTCTCCTCCGTGTACGGTGGCGTTGCCGGCGTCGCTGTATAAATACTGGCGAGTGGACAGGGTAAAATCATAACCCAGACCGTCATCATCATGAAGTTTCTTTGTGCCGTTGCTCTTCTGGCCCTGATGGCTAGCGCTGCTTATGCCACCTATGGGGTCGGAACGCCTTATGGTTCATATAGCCACTACTATCCTTACGGCCATGGTGGCTACGGCGGCTACGGCGGCTACGGCAGTTACGGCGGCTATGGAGGGTATGGAGGGTATGGGTACCCCGGCTATGGATATGGTGGATATGGCGGTGTTGGATATGGTGGATACGGGGGATACGGCGGTCTTGGTTACGGTGGATATGGTGGTTACGGCGGTTATGGTGGTTACTACGGCAAACCTATGTATTATTATTAATCTTCAACGTGAGTGTGTTTCGTAACTTTTCTATCAGTTCTCTCCGGGTACTTGAAGAAAAGTATTGTTTAAGTCAATCAGAGCTCCTTTTACTCCTAATACATGTATATATTTTATACTATCACAGTATTTTCCTAACATGTTACATGGAGAATCGGTAATTTTCTCTCATCTGATTTGTCTTCTTTTCTAGTTTTTAAAACATATGAATTCGCTGTCAATTTTTGCTCAAACATGCATACATACAATATATTTTGATAAAACATGTTATATACTATTTGGTATTCAGTTCCTCGTCTTTATTTTCAGTTTATCAGGTTGATAAAAAAACAAGACGTGAGAGACAACATCTTCGTGGTTTCTACCATTGCTGCCTCCAATATCATCTGGTTTAAAAAAACGATGACTTAAGTGTCTGCTGAACATGTCGCCAGTTTTTCAAGATGAAATTCAAGAACGATGAACACTGGATCCTCCAGGCGACTCCCTGATGACATTTGTAAAAGGCAGTTATTTAGGTGACTTTGGTCGGACATTGACCGTTCCTAATACAGCTGTGTGTTTTCGTTGCTTTGAGAATACAAAAACGGAATGAATAAAGTAACGGAAGTGTACAGAAAAATGTTGTTTTGTTTTTTATATATATGTGTGGCCAAAATATGACAAAGCTACTGCCTTTTGCTTTTGCAAAGTATTGCAATGTTTGGCAATGTTTTCGAATCTTAGGTAAACAACTCGGCAACGTGCAAGCATTTCAGTCCCATTGAATGAGGCAACCCAATAGAAAATCGATATTAATTATCGTTTCTATTGCATATTTAAAGATAGATGTGGAAACAAAAAAGAAAAAAGACGCGGTTCAAGCGTTTTTCCTCTGTTTGAATGACACAACGCAGATATTCCTGACGGAAAGCAATTCGAAAAAAAGATGCACACAATTATATTACTGTTATTATTATAGTAGAGATGCACCATTTGTGAAGGTCAAATAACAACTCTTACTGAGAATCGGTCACAAATATAATTTTTAGATATGACATTTTTACAAAAATTCTTATCCTAAAACTACAGTATTATGAGTATATCTTCGCTCGTTTATGGATACAAATTTAACAGTTATAAAAAAGAAAACGATTAGCATTTATAAATTGTATATCAAAACAGACATAAATGACATGACAATGAATGATGCAGTTACGCGTACATCTGAGCAGGAATCAAAATCCCAATAGCTAACATGCCAATACATTCTGTGTCGGATCCATGATTTTGCCAAAAAAGTATAGAATAAAAAACAAGAGAAATTATATCATGTAACACAGGGCATAGGGAGGGAAATATTCTTGACTTATTCTCTTGTCGCTCGTTATACATTTTTATGGGGGGGGGGGGGTCAAATTCTTCGAAGCCTGGGGGAGGCACGTGGCACACTGCCAAACTTAAATCCGCAGCTGACACGTTCATTAAGATAAGTGTCTTAGGGCTTGTTCCCCATGAAATCATCGTTTTACGAAGATCGATCTCACAAAATGCAATCAGTTTAAGAGATTAACAAGCCTCTTCTTGTTTCCAAATTCCTCTCACAATCACCAGTTTTTATGTATTCTACTTGACCCCAGGAGGAGGCGTGTTAATCTGCTTAATTCACCGCAGTATGCGAGGTTCCTAGCGGAGTTAGATCGATCCACGTAGAACGAAAGTTTCATTGGGAATGAGTCCGTAGATGCACGGCAATAATATACTGTCATTATGAAAACAACCCATGACACTGTTGTAGTCTCTCAGGGGCGGATTTAGGGCGTCTTCTGGGTCTTCCAGAAGACGGTCAGATTTTCAAAATTACATTGGCGGGTATCTAATTTTTTCTGTCGGAAGACGGTCAAAAATGAAGAACGGATCAACAAAGATAATTTGGAAGACTGTCAGGAAATAACTCTGAATCCGCCCCTGTCTCTAACACCTTATGTGGAATATACGAAGGGATGTATCAAACGTATCTATAGGCTTGTGTCATGTGTTCTTTACCCTGAAAAATGATTTATATGGTTTGCACTTGCACGAGGTGTGCGATTAATTGTAATGATATCCAATGTCAAATAACTTTGCAAGATTACCACATAAATTCTCTCGATAATAATATAGATAATTTGCAAGCTATTCACTATTTCTTTCGTTATGGCTAGTTTGATGGATCCCAGGTGGTGGGGGTGGTGGTGTTTCTCCAAAAGCATCTTAATACTAACCTCATTTTTTTAGTGTTTAAAGTAAAACTTTTTAATAACTATTCTTTGCATATTTAGAAGTCCTTCACTAATCTCCTCGTGCCTCTAGTCGAACTAATGACCGTTGTTTTACCCCACCCAGTACACAGATAAACAATTACAAATATATCAGTCTTTAGCATCGCCGTCAATACCGTGACCGTACCAGCACGAACACAGAACCAAAAGGTGGGCATTATAAAATTAACTAGTTTGGCCTTGTTTTCAGGTAAGTGACCTCCCTTCCCCCTTCTATCTAGCAGTCGTAATTGCACGTAATATATAAATAAAATACTCGTGTCTTAAACAGACGTTCAGACCTCAAATATAGCTTGGCTTTCACAACTCTTATTACGCATGCACAAACATTCCGTCGACAACGTGAAGCATTTCCTAATCCTGACGACGTACTTATTCCATGTATTTTTACGGCGTCAATAAGTGACCGCTGGTACGGACACTACTGTATCTACTCTCTGAAATGATGTGGTTCTCTTGGTTTTGACACCTGTCCTTGTAGTGTCAACGGTAAATGCTGCATACTTTGAAAAGATCCAGGTCTGTGATACTGCTGTTTATGCCTGCTAGAACTTGTCCCTGAACCATAAAATCACTGTTGCGGTTACACCTGTCCACGCCTCTTGGTCGCGATATTCGGACCTACGACCCTAAGTAGCGTACAACGGTATTTAGTTTGTCAATTAAACGACTTAATTAGCTAGATGACATATTTAAACCGTGCCCCCACTCCTCTTTAGTTTCAGATACCAAAGTGATTAGACAAACATATACCTATATAAAGAAGTTCAACTTGACAGTAAACAGTAAAATAGGGTGAGTTGTCAGCTACCAGATCACCATGCAGGCTTTCAGAGGCGTGTGTGCCGCAGTCATCGCGGTCCTCTTGGTTTCAGTGAACACCGGCGTGCGTGGTCAGCAAATGCCCCAGTACTACGCCGGCGGCTACTACGGTCAGCCCTATGGCTTGAACTACGGTCAGCCCTATGGCTTGAACTACGGTCAGCCCTATGGCTTGAACTATGGTGCACCACAGTACTACGGCGGAGGAAGCCATTTCGGTTACCCAGGCTACAGTGGTTATCCATCCTACGCCGGATACCCGTATTACCCCGGGCAAAATACTAACCATGGTTACCCTGGTTACTATCCTGGATATCCAACATATCCGTCGTATCCACCTACTGGTGGCCATCACAGTTACCCAGGGTATCCGTCTTACCCCGGCTATCCGTCGTATCCGGGGTATCCACCTAACAGCCAATACTGCTACTACTATCCCGAATACTGCAGCAGCATATATGGGCAAAACCCTGGTAGGTGGAGTTTTTTTTCAAGCGTCAATTATTTCATTTCTTAATTAATTTTTAAGTTTGTTTATCTATTTTAACACTTGTCTGCTCATTTACTTTGCTTAATTTTTTTAACTACCAGTAGTTTACAAATGTCTATCGTATTCGAATCTCTAATATTATTAAAATGATTTCATTTCCCTCGAAAATACTTTAATAGTTAAGAAGAAAAAGTGAATTTTACTCGAACTAAGAATTGTACCCTTTCAAAGATGCGCGAGAAAAGAAAGCTCACGTTTGTTATCAGTTAACATTTTTATGTAGGGTTAAAGGCAAATGAGCGCCTATCGTATTCTCTTAATAATCACATCAATCAAACTAAAACTATGTATCAAATATCTTTCAGGGACCCCTACTACCCCTACTACCTAAAATAGACGGTTAGTACCAAGCGAAAAATTGAAAGGGCGGGCACCTTCAAGCGCGAGCGATAAAGAAAAAACGTTACACAAGAAGTGCAGCACATTCCTAGTGGAAAAAGAGCAGTATACACATTTCTATTAAGTCGTTAGTTTTTTAGGCTCATCCGTTCCCTAACACCAAAAGAAGGGGATATAGCGTTTTTCACAGTACTACAGGAGAACGATGCATACTAAAACATTAATGTTCCCTGTGTTTACTAGTATGTTTGAGACGGTAAGAAGCATTTGTGCAACTTTGAGATTCAAATGTTGTCGCCTCAACTCAGCAGCCCGATTCTCCTCGTGGATTCTCACGGGAGAAGAGAGAACATTGTAAGAGGATGGGAGATTTATATTTCAGTTTTGACGAGTCACTTATTTTTCTTCGGAATCACAGGAGGTGGAATTTTGGAATTCATCTTTTCGTTTTACACTGTACAAACAAAGCGAATAAAATCATTTTATCTTACTATATTGTTTTTTCTTCATTCACACTTACATTAAATATTTGATTGCTATAATAAAAGATGGATTTTTAGAAGTTATGCCCGTGACACACTATTAATATAATAAACGGACGACTCTGAGACACAGATCAAGAAATTTAAAAGAATTTTAAAGTAATAGAAATGTGGCATATTTCGAGACANCCCTTCAGAGAAGAGAGAACATCGTAAGAGAATGGGATATTTATATTTCAGTTTTGACGAGTCACTTATTTTTCTTCGGAATCACAGGAGGTGGAATTTTGGAAATAATCTTTTCGTTTTACACTGTACAAACAAAGCGAATAAAATCATTTTATCTTACTATATTGTTTTTTCTTCATTCACACTTACATTAAATATTTGATTGCTATAATAATAGATGGATTTTTAGAAGTTATGCCTGTGACACACTATTAATATAATAAACGGACGACTCTGAGACACAGATCAAGAAATTTAAAAGAATTTTAAAGTAATAGAAATGTGGCATATTTCGAGACACCTCCCCCCCCAAAAAAAAAAAATGATAAGATGCACTTTCTGGTGTCTGAAGGAATCTGTGAATGTAATATCGTGAATAATTATTTGGGAGTAAAAACAATTTACTAAATTTTCCGGGTCCTTAGGCCGTCACGCCGAAAAGTGACCACCTAAATATGTAAACAGAAAATTATACTTTAAAATGAGAAATCTTTAAGCTGAGGGTGTCCAATGATTACAAAGAATACGCTGTGCCATGAGAGATACAAATGTACTTGTAGTAAAGGAAAGTTAATGGCAAAACGGCGAGATCTAAGGTAATGCCAATTTTGTTTACTGTCCCTTATATTGTCTTGATATCAATCATAAAACTCCCGTAGAATTAAAGGTTATCCCACAAAAATTGCTTCACTAGACAATTAAATGAAAGTAGTAAAATTAAACAAATCTCATAATCTTGGAATTCTTTATCAAAATAAAAATGAAGGCAGGTCATATATAATTAAGAGATTTAACAGGTAAAGACAGGTAGATATGATTACATATCTTGCAGTGATGTGCATATACTGTTCCAAATATTTAGTTTTATTCATTTAAGCGTCACACTGTTTGAGATGAACAAGCACAATTAAAAATATTTGAATCTTAATTTATTCTTTTAAATTATTTTCACATCAAACACATCGTCTTTATCGAAACAAATCTAACGCCTCTCCTCCCCACGCAGCCCTCTATAGACTCGCACTCGCGTGGTCCCAACACTGCATGTCCACAACCCTACTCTCTCTCTCTCTCTCTCTCACACACACACACACACACACACACACACGCACTCTCTCTCTCTCACACGCACACACACACACACGCACGCACGCACACTCACTCACTAAAACACACACACACCGAAACACTCCCATCTACATGCAGCACTCCTTCCACACAGCGACCTACATGTGTACCCTCTCTCACATAGCCCACAAAGTTATTTATTTTTACCTTCTAAAATGATATTTCCCATAGCAGCCTCTCAAGTTAAGTCGAATGTAGAAACTGATAAGTTAAACCAAGGGGTCACACAACTCCTTGCTTAAACTATGGAATAATGCTTCCATGGTTAAAGTAACCATAGAAAGCGACTACAGCATTCACGATTGTGCGAATCCAACCCCAAATTTCTCATCTAACACAATATGAGGTACAACAGCTACCGTTGCTGCACAGATACATTAGCGATTTTTCCACCTCTGGAAGTTCGCAAATGCGTATGGTATCAAACTTTTCGAGACTTTTCTTAAATGATAAACAATAAAGGGGTAGTTAGCGTAATGTGCATTTTAATGTGATGGGTGAACGTAAGGAAAATGGTATCTGAGTGGACAAACACGAAGCAATGCTTGAAATGTTCTACTTCTAAAGTCACTCACTTCGTTTATCTCCAACTAACGACCATTTTGTTTCTCAGTCTTTTTTTCACAAATGCCATTTCATGTGTTGAGCCGTGAGACCGACCAATTTATTTTGATTCAATGCAGAAGGTAAATATTGGTGTGTGGACACTTTTGCATTCTGGTTAACATCCGGTTTGCATCTTTTTCTAAGCCAGCCGATGCCTGCCAATGTCATTTATATTCTCTTACAACTTGAAAAGAAAGATGTTATTTGATTTATATATTCCTTAAAATTATTTTCAGAGGCACAATTATATGTGTAATGTAAAAAATGAAAAACGACATACAGTGTGAGTAATTTATCCTAAATACTGTATTCATTTAAAAAGGGAAAAATGAAAAATACCATTTATTTAGCGGCTATGTATCCTCTTGTGGGATCAAAACTTACATTTGTACTTGATACCTTGTGAAAGTTTACGTCATTTTGATTAAAATCTCTTCGACAAAATATGAATACGTCTTCAGGTTATTCTAAAGCTTTCATATACATATTGAAATAAACATTTTGTTGATGACATAACGAGAGTTTTTCTCAGGAGTACGTCTCCCTTACTGTCATAAGTAACTGTTCCATGCATTACGCTGTTCATTTATTCATAATCCAAAGAGAAACGATTATGTTCCACCCATATTCAACCTTGCCCTCCAAATGAACTTTTATCTTAACTAAAGTATAAAGTGCACAAATGAAGAACTAATTACGACCGTTGAGGCTTTACTACATTAAAGGGATAATAACTCTTCGTTTCGGCCAAAAAATGAATTTTCCTGGAGTAAACAACAATTTTCCCATACTTACCAATGGGTAATGAATCCATTTTTACATTCAAAGTTAGTCCCTGTTTTTTTTTCTAAAAAGTTTGGTTTTTTGTTAAAATCTCTTAAGAGATTTTAACAGAGTATAGCCATCAATGGAGGTCACTTGGTCTAAAGACAAGCCCAGATATCAGAATAATAGCTATAGCTGCCGTTTTTGTGGTACAACAGAATATATTATATTTCTATGAGTTATTCACAATGTTTTTATTGTGAAATATAGATCTCATACGAAGAGTTATTATCCCTTTAAGTATATGTATGGATTATTATTCAAAGAAAAAAATAATATGCGCGTAACTGTTTCTTGTCCAAATTTAGCCTATTTTCATAACAGTCTCAACGTAGTTGAATTATAATCTGTATAATTTTTATCTTTGTTTTCATATTTCCGTGTAGGCAAACATACCCTTGAATTAGAAATCTGGCCAGATTTTCACAAAATACAGGGAATACGCTGCAATTAGCCTGATCCTTACACAGATTAAAACTGATAACAGTAATGCAAGCAATTGCTTTCAAATCATATTCAAATTAAAGGTTGCGGTATTTCTAACACGCCATGCTGTCTGGGAGCTCAGATAAGGGGAGAGGTATGGTAATAGTGACTGAGAGGCGAGACGAGCTCTTAGGTGTTAGGCAAAGTTTTCGTTCCAAAGGCGTCGTGATTGCCAAAGTCGTACCTATTCTCATTTAACCTGC